CGCCCCGCCACAAGCGCCGGCTCGTCGCCCATTGGGTACAGACCAATGACGGACGTTCCAATAGTCCAATGCTTCCAGATAGGGGCGGAGCCGTCGTTCCGCTCTCGCCGCAGTCCTGCACGCTCTGCTGGAGCGGGCGTCCTAGAGCTGCGGTGTGCTCAAGTCTCTGCGCCTACTTAGCGAGACTGATTTTTGCAGCCAGGTAGGCCGACCCCGAGAGCGGCGATGGCCTCTGCCCTTTCTACGGCGGCTGGCCTCCGCTCGTCTCCTCCCAACCTGGGTTCGAACCCAGCTCTGGCCCATATTAGCTGCGACCTTGGGCAACCAACTTTACCCCTCTAGATTTTCATTTTGCAAAGTAGGGCTAGTGGCACCTGCCCACCTGGATTGTGGCAATCGTCCTGTAAGACGTTTGAAAGACTTATGCGAATCCTAAAGTTTCACACCCATGAAGTTTGTACAGCATAGGAGGGAGCATTAGTTGTCTCTGCTACTCTCGTTCTCTGCAAGTTAGGGGCTCTTCTGGGTTCCTGGCAATACTGGTTTATGGAAAGCTTGTATTAGAAGGGAGGAGAAGGGAGAAGAGGAAAGGCCTAGGAGATAGCCCTTAGTCTAGAGAAGCAGGAGAGAGCCAGGTCCTAACTGGCACCTTTGGGAAACCCACTGAAGGTAATGGATCCTCAGCAAAATGTGCCTGAGGACAGATAGCAAAATTCTGTTTTGAATTTCAGGGGGAACCCATCTGTAGGCCCCAGGGCCACGAACCCCTCATTTCAGTGCTTAAAAGACTCAGGTCAGAGGGCTAAGATATACATGCTGCTCTATCTTTTCTATTCTTCTAGCATGAAGCACATGAATTTTAGAGCATCCCTAGTAAAATGTAGAAACAGTCTCAGCTAACATCTTCTTTGTCACTTTTTTCACTTTCTTGGTAAAATTACTTGGATCACCCCATTTGTTGAGCAGAGAAGCAGTGGAACTACCAGCAAAGGTTGATGGTAAGGCAACCCTAACCCAAGTCTGTGGTCAGATGGCTCTGGCAGCTGCATATGCTGGCCTTAAGATCATCCCATAACCTCCCTGGAATGTTTCTTTTGCTGTGAAATGGAGAACACTGCACTACATATCCTGGGATCACAGCCCTCCTGTGAAGGTGCTGCCTAAACTTTTAAAGACTGGTTATGGTCACAGTTGAGATCAACTAGATGTGGCACAGTGATCCCTGGAGGTGACCAGTGAGGACTAAAGGAATTTAACTAACAGCTGAAGGGCTGCTCTGCATGTATGCCAACCATGCTTCCTAGAGGGTAATTTTGAGAATTAACATAGGAAATGTACATTAATGGGCCCAGGCAGTTTCTGTGGCAGAATCAGGGGTCAGAGTTAAGCTTTTTGCAAGGGCCAAACCCAGATACAAGAGTGGGATAACCGCTTACAACATTCCAGCTATGAGAGCAGAGACCAGCTCCTAGAGGGAACCACTAGGGCTGGCTGTTGCCTACCTGACCTTACCCTGGTGACCACTTGAAAGAAAGTGATGGCTCCCCTGGTGTCCAGTCAATTTTTATTTTCATTCATTTAACAATCATTTAGTGAAGGTTTCCTCAATGTGGGGCATATTTCTAGTTACAGTTCTAGGATATAGACCTGATCCTTTCCTGGTGGACTCTTGTGGCTACAGGGCAGTGGTAGAAAGCAGAACAATAATTTGCCATTATAGTTATAGTCTGTAACCTGACTCAGCATGGACAGTTGGGTGGAGACACTGGGGTTTGGAGGGCATGTGGAGGGGGAACCCAGAAGCAGTGGGGTCAGCTTCCTGAAAGAAAAGATGCTTAAGCTGGGGCTGCAGCAGGAGTGGAGAGGTAGCCAGTGATAGGGGATTGAAGTGAGTTCCAAGGTGGGGAGAACACTGGGCAGGAAGGAGCATGAGACTTGGAGAGAATTCATGGAATACCAACCTGGCCAAGCCAGTGAGCATGAAAGGATGCCCCAGATAGTCACATCTGGTCAGCTGCCTTCAAGTAAAATTGGGGATGTTGGTCTAAGGACCATTGGAGAATTGTTAAATTAGACTTTTTAATGGCAAGTTTTTGTTTCATATTTATTTGCCTTGGACATGGTCCTACAGACCATGTGAGTTGTGCTTCTGGGCATAATCATATAGCAAAAATATTAATTAGTCGAGAAAATAAGAAAAAACAAAGAAGTCAGTTTGTGAGGCCTAGTTCAGCAAAGTGCCTGCTGCAGCCATGGGATCATGGGGAAACTGAGTGTGTCAGTGTCAGCATTGGAGTAGTTATCAGCAGGTGCTGTGCTGGCCCAGGGGCAGGGTGCAGCTGGAGCTTTGTGTTGGCAAGGAGAAAGAGGCCTTGTGACTGAGCCCACCCAGCACCTCCCGGACAGCATGGATAACTGGGAAAAATAGTATCAACCCCTGTCCCAGGAAACTGACCAAACTTTAATTGCAGGTGGCTCCATGCCATGAGCATCCATGACCCCTCAATCCCAGTAGAACTTTCTAGCTCATTAACTATTAAGCCCATACTGGCCCACACAGTATGGCAGTTTGCAGGCTTTCTGTTTCTGCCCATCTGGACTCTGCTACACCTCTGTAAGGTCTAGCTTCCCTGGGTCTACCTTTATGTACTTCCAGAACCCACAGGATCCTGGAATTCCTCGTCTACAGATGTGACAACCTGTCCCCAACTGACTCTCCCACTAGCCTTCCTACTTCCCTGGCTGGCTGTTCTCTGTTCCCCACCTGTGCTAGCTTCCTAATCCTCACTGTGACTCTCAGGTGGGTTTTTCTGGTTGGTTTCCTTGGGGTCCATGTGCCTCACCCCCACTTGAACAAGCTGTTTTGGATCTGGGTTAGTTATAAATAGCCAGGCCCACCACTCTCCTTTTAGCTAAAAAGCAAAGTGAATGAGCAGAAAGGCACACCCGGCATGCATTTTATTTTTAATCTCCCTCTGTCTCAAAATGAACCTAGGTCCCAGTGCTGAGTATTTCTAGGAGCAGTGGCCCAAAACAGATGCTTGAGAAACAAAACCCAAAGAGCCAAGGGCCCTGGCTTTGTCCCCTCTACTGTTTCCCTTCTGGGCCTCAGTTTCCTTGCCAAGGAAGAGAGGTGCCATGGAAGTGATCACCTCCAATGATCTGATTTTCTGAGCTCATTTCTCTCCTTCTGTCCTTTCCCAAGTGTGTGTCCATCCCAAGTTGGATTGGACAGCAATTTCTTGCAGTTCAGCAACACCTGTCACTGGGTTTTCTCAGGAAGCTTAGAACCAAATGTAAGTGAGGCCATGACCAAGCTCCAGTTAGACAGTTCCCAACTTCCATTGGTATTATATAACATCCTGCCAAGTGGGCTCATTTTAATGCTGAGTAAACCAGGCTCAGAGAGGTTGGATTATGTGTCCAAGACTACACATCTGGGAAAGGATACATTTAGGAGCTAAACCTAGGCTTCTTTGGAAATCTGTGGATATTAAATTTTAAAAAGGAAAGTCTAACATACTTGAAGTAACAGATAACTGATTTCCCTGGGCCCTGAGTGCCCTAAGAAGAAGTGGGGCAGAGCTAGCTGCTCCACCTAGACACCCAAGTGAGAAGCTGGTCAAGGGTACTGGGAGCTGCTGGACAGCAGGGAATGTGCAGAGGGGACAGTAAGAGCTGGTAAATATGCCTGTCTTTCTACTTGCCCTCACCTGGGGCATCTGCCATTTGATGTCCTTAGGGAGTGAGACAAAAAGACTGGGATGATATCTTCAAAGAGGAAATCCCTGGTGCTAATTGGTACTCAGAGACCTTTTGGCTAATTGACCTGTTTTATTTGTCTCTCTAGAGTAAATTAGAAGGTTTAACTAGGGAGGGCAGAAGAAAGAGGTGTTTGCTGGTGGCCACCTCCCTAGGGTCTATAGACAGTTTCTCAGTGGGTAGCATGGCTGCTGGGGAGGATGGGGAGAGGGCCAGATACAAGGCAGTAGTGATGGGTGGTTTGAGTGCATGGGGAAGCGCTCGCCTTTGCTCTTTCTACATCTCAAGGACTTGAGAGGGCTGCTCTGAGAGCCTGGGCCCCTTGGGATACCGTTGGTGCTGGGGTTCTATGTTCTATTCCAGATAGCTACAGGTGGAAATATCCTTGCCCAGGAGGGAAGGAGAGCTGGAAGGAGTGAGGTGGGGCCCATTTGAGGGGGAGTCTTTGCTCTCCCAGGGATAACTGCTACCTTTCAGGCTTCTGTGTACTTGTTTATGTCTGATGTTCCTGAGGCCCAAGTGACCAAAAGGTTAGCACCTTTTGTGACCTCTGGGACCTTATCTCAGCCTCACCCCAGCTTCTGCCATGGCTGCACCCTCAGACTCCTGATGGCTACTCAAGCTCCATGCCAGGTCCTTCTATCAAAGCTTCCACTCTACCTGTGCAAGCCAGTCTGAACGGGAGGCTGTCCCCCAGTATCCTTTTCTGTTTTGCAGGGGCCCGTGGCATTGTCGATAATGGCTTGATCTCCCCACTGGTACTGAAGCTGCAGAGGGAGGAGGAGAAAATCCAGGAGCTTATCTTGGACACGCTGGCCTCCTGCCTGCAGGAGGATGCCACTGAGGCTCTGAGCAGCTGTGCTGTGCCTTTCTTCAAGCAGAAACTTCTCAGTTCCAACAAAAACATCCGCAGCAAGGCTGCTCAAGCACTCATGGCCATC